AGTGCAGTTTAATGTAACCATAGTCTTTAGAGTGTAATTTTGATCTTGTGTCCTTTGTGCAATTGTTAAAAAAACATTTAAATAGTGCAATAATATAATTATTTCCTTGTGGTTTGCATAAAAGGAGGTGGGAGCTAATAGTCATGTTTGACATAAACACAGTGAATAAAGTTCATGCCAGCTGACCAAATCTTTGTTTTTATAGTGCATGTATTCAACTGAGAACTGATCATATCTGTGTGTTAGAGACCCTGGTTGCGTGCAATGTAGCTTATAAAAAACATTAAAGTAGTGAATCTTAATCTATTTACTTATTTATTTTTATTGTATTTTAAATAGGCCTATAGGCTCATAGGTCTTTCGTCCAAAAAAACAAAAACATTTTCACAGAAAGTACTTCCAGCTGCCCTGTTTAAATGTGTATCCAGTGGATACATTTTATGGGAAAATGTACAGCATAAAAAGCCAAACATGCAGGGAACAATAAAGCATTTTTGAACATTATTAGAATTGAAATAAACTGAAATTGTTTAATATGATGTTCCTATGGAGGTCATATAAAACGATTTCTTGCAAATGTTTACTTCTACATTCACATCGGCACCACAGGTAATTTTATAACAAGTGGCTCTGAGTTATTGAGTCATCTAACATTAAGTAACAAGAGTAAATAATTTATAAAAGTAAATAAAAGTTTCCTGCAGATTGCTTTTTTCCAGTTGTATGAAAAAATGTTGTTTAAGATTCTCTTTGTGTAGCAATCTCTCCCAAGAAAGCCAATACTTCAAAAGGACATACATCTTCAAAAAGGAGAATAAAAAGAGATTCAATCTTGAAAGAATGTAATGAAAATAGCTGGTATATACTTACACGATAGCGAGATGAAAACTTTGATGATTTCAAATCATTGCTCACCGACAAAAGATCTAATCTTGAAAACGGTGGAGGAATGGGTTTTTCTGTTGCTCAGTCTTATGTTTTGTTATTTCTCCCATATGTGATGCAAAACTATTTGAATAATGGATCATTTCTTGTCTTCGTCTTCTCCCCGATTGTCCAAAATCTTATAACATCTTCAAAACACAAGCTTGACAGTCAGACTGAGTTACACTTAGTTTTCACGGAAAAGGCAAAGTAATGAGCTGATGCTGTTTGTTTGTTCATTAAAGTTTAATCTGTGTCGCATAAGTGACTGTAGGCAGAGTTATAGGGACGGATAGCTGGCATCCAGGAAGGCTAGTGGATAATTTCCAAGAAATTACATCAGTTATTTTCTTTAAATGTGGTCTGTTTTACTTACCCAGATCATTTAATTAAAGTTAACTATGGTTTTTACAAAAAACATGTCTATAATTTCATTTCATTAATGAAACAAGTGGTCAGAAATGCTTAAAATAAACATAAAACAGTTGTTGAAGTTGAAAGTGGGGGCACCATTCCACACAGTTTTTTTTGATTGGGCATTCTAATATTTAATAATAAATAATATATTTTAAAATCAAAGATTTTTTAATCTTCATATTCATTATAAATCTCAGGTTTTGTGTTTATTGAATAAAATAATGAGTAAGCTTTGCTTTTTTATATTAAATTGTTCAATATTGCATGTACCATAGCTGAGTACAGGCTCTTATCAAAATGGCTCAGTGGATCTACAGTTAATGGTAAAAAAAACTGAGAGAACTGAATCTGCTTCTGCAAGGTCTTTGGATGAAATGCAATTGGTCAACTAGTCACCAAACTAAGCCTCTTTAAAAGCAAGATTTCTGGCACTTTATTGCTGTCAGGAGCACAGGATTGTTTTCAGTGCCAAGTGACCGTGAGGGGCGGGGCCGTATGTGAGGATGAGCAGTATTGGTTAAGTGGGGATGTGTTCAGGACAAGGGGAAGTGACAGCTACTGCAGCTTAATTTGACATATTGACCCATGGATGGGGAGCAGAGTGACGTTGGTAGTTACACCATGGATAGATCTTTTATGGGGGAAGATTTTTCATTGCAGACGTCACCAGAGATTGAGGGATGCTTTGTGGGTCCCTGAGGGCCAGCACCTTATCACTTGTAGCCACTGGCTCCAGACAGTGACTCAGCAATGCCTGAAGCTGGTGAGGCAGTGGAGGACAGGATGACTCGAAACCAAGCTTGCGTCTGAGTGAATCTGTTTGATACCTGACCTCACAGCTACGATGCACCATGTGAACCAATGGGAACATTGCAGTAGCCTCTTTTCAACCCCAGGAGGACAGCACTTGGAATGTTTTAAGACAAATGTTGCAGAACAAAACAGGTTTACATGAAACTGTGATCTTTTTCCAGGTAGCATTAAATTAGTGCAAAAGAAAGTTGATTATACTTTAAAGTTCATTTTTTTCCAACAGATTTTCTACCAATATTCCCAGGACAAGATGTCACAGCATGTTCACCTAAAGTTGGGCCATGTCATAGCCTTAATATGACCACAAATGAAACAAAAATTATATAATTTCTATACTGTTCCACCATCCGTACCTAAGGCGATTGAAAGTACTTCATGGAACATCAAAGAGAAACAAAATAAAAAGCAAAAACATGAAATTCTGATATTAGGGACAAACATTAATTCGACCTTTGCATATAAAAGTGTATTATGAAATTTAGGCAGGATCGGGATGAGTCGGTAATAAAGATGACAAACAGATACACACACACACTGTTTCTGCTAGAGTAAAATGTGTTGTTTTATTCCGCCACAGAAAACAGCAAAGCAAGCACATCAATCAAGGCACGGTGCTGAATGCAAATTATATTGTTCCAATACAAATGATATTATCCACCTAACCGTGACACAAAGTAGAGCCAGTTGACCCCGGCACTGCAGCAAACCGCGCAGCTAGGCGTTCGTACGCAACCCTAGCAGAATCTGCCAGTGTCAACCTCCACCCATCATCTATGCCAAACTTCAAAGGAAAATCTTTTGCCCAATCAGGAAAATGATTGCTCCCTCTCATGACTGGAGCGCATGATTACAGAAACCAAAATATGTTTCCGGCATCCTCTGAACCCACCCAGGGCTCGTGGACAGCCAAAACCAAAAACAAGTTACATCATGGTCAGAGCATGGTACCGACAGCTCGTGAGTACAAAAACAAATTATATCATGCCCTCAAGGAAACAGAAACTTGGATGAGAGTGCTTAGGTAATAAGAGTGCTTAATTTGTAAAACAAAACTTGTATGATTGTCAAAGAACATAAAATATAAAACCCATTTATATCAAAAAGGTTAAAGTTCATTGAAGGAGAATAAAGCATGCATGTTATATCTGGAAGCAGGGGTGGGACTAAGTCAGGGTTTTGTAAAAATCATAAGTAAGCCTCACGTCTAGTGAGTCACAGTGGGGCAGAGTTGGTGGACCGTACTCCGTGAGCTAACAGCAGGAGATTGATCATTTTCTCCCTAAGCGTCGCGTTGTTTGACGCTTCATCTTCACTGGTTGTCCTGCAGTTTGATTGGATGGATGCTGTCGGATCAAAACGACATAGATCTAATTTCAGTGGATGTTGGATCAAAACGACATAGATCTAATTTGATTGGATGTTGTGCTGACACAAACACACAGATGCTCCGTACACACAATGAGAGATGCAGAACGCTCTGTTTACGTTCTTTTTAATGTGTGGATTTTGTGGAAAGCAGCAAGTCTAGTTAAGTCAGAAGGATCAAGTCAACAAGTTATTGATGTGAAACTTCTAAAGTCTAAAGTAATCAAATTCATGACTCAAGTCTGATTTGAGTCCAAGTCTTGTGACTCGAGTCCACATCTCTCTCTGGAAGTGTCGCCTGAAGTAAGAATATACTTTGTAATCAATCTAGATAAAGGATGCATTCTTTCAGATGCTAGGATGCAACTGAAAGAAGCAACACTTCATAAAGTATAAGATGGAGAGATGAGAAAGCCTAAATTCATGGCAAGAGAAACGGAGCGTCAACACACACACCTCCCTCCTGTCAAGGGGAGTTGATTTGAAGACGTTTTCCATACACAGGATCATCCTCTGTAGAGTAGAGCATTCTCTAGTGAAACAAGACAGTAGAAGATAGTAGAAAATCGCCACTGGATCTAAAGCATAGAAAATGTAAGCAGCTCCACAATTTAAAAGTAATTTAACAAGCTAACATCTGTAAAACAACATAGAGCAGTTTTAGCAGCTCTAACTCTTTTGTAACAGCAATACAGCACTTTGAGTTAAAACCGTTTAAAAAGACTCTTTAACAGTTTCATACAGCAGTAGCTAGGATGAATGGAGAGAGAAACTGAGCCATTCTTTTGTGCCGAAATGAACATATTTTCAAGAACGACACCACCATGTGAAAACAGACACAAGTCAGTTTGTTTTGTGCCTTAAGTGTAATAAAGAGTGTTTGTCTTGGGAAAAAAAGACAAAACAAATCAGCATGTACAGGGGGTCTGCATTTTAACGTTGGTTTTTGTACCTCCTCCAAGATGGCAGCACAACTAATAAGTGGAGGTATGGATGAGTTGAAACCATGCATATGCATTAAGATGTTCTAATCTAAGGCATTGTGTGTGATAGACTTCCTCCTGAACGCCGGGCGCCTGGGTCTTTACATTCTCTTTAACATTTACAGCCCAAGTTAATTAGCCATTTCTATCCATATCTGGACTCTTGGTTAAAAGCACAATGGCAGATCTACAGAGTGGCTGAAAAAGAGAAGAGATAAGGCCAAGTATATGTAATGACCTGAAAACAAATGAAGTGCAATAAGGAGAGCTTAAGAAAGCTGTACTGAAACATAAGTCTGCAAACCTTAATGATCTGAATAAACATTGCAACGATATTAAAGTTAATAGTTTGATAGTTTTATAGAAATGATTACTGGAAATGTTGGCAGCTGTTAAATCATGAAGTGGACCAGATGTTTTCTACATATGGATGGTTTACAGGTCTTTCAACTTTGATATTTAGAGATGTTTTCTTTCACTGTCTTTATGCACCTGCAGCCATGGAGGGAGATGGAGAAGTCATCATTAGCCCTGTTCAGAACTGCAGCCACTGTAAAAGCGGTGAATGCCATGAGAACAGCGATGGCATCATCTGTTACTGCGATGAAGACCTCGTCCTGGCCAAAGACGGAGTGTCCTGTATTAACGCCTCAGGTCAGACGCTCCATCCATCGCAGGAATTCATCCTAATTTTCATCCTTTCACAGAAACAAATGGAAATGAGTTTGGCTGATTGTACTTTTAACAGACTGTCTTTACAAATATAATGAAGCCCACTGGGACTCGGGTTTATTGACTCTCTGTCTAGGGACTTTTTTCATTTAATAAGCCTTTAATCCTCCATGATAATTAATAAATTCTATAAGCTAACTATAGAACAATTAGACTGCTTTTATTCTGCTCTCCCAGAAGAGCCCTTTATGTTATGAGTTTTAAAATCTGAGGTCTCTTCTGGATTCTGAGGTAGTAAGATTGTGAATTGGAAATGAAATATGCTTTGTGATCTAATTCCATGCATAGATTTTAAAGCTACCCACATCAGGAGCAGCAGAAGCTAAATACCACATTGGTAAAACTGCCCCGGTTAAACTGGGAATGAGGGATGTAGACAAACACCGGTGAAGATGGATTTGCTTCTTCAAACATAATTTGTAATCTCAGTAAAGAATACATTAATAAATGTCAATCAGAAAGTAATTAGCATGGCTGAGTGTCATTTTATAAATCAGAAACACAATGCCAGGCCTATTAGCATCATAACAATAGTTCTGCATGCTCTGATCTGCTTGTATTAGGGGCATTAAAAGGCACTGGTTCTGTATGGTCTGTTTGGGTTTGGAGATTTGTTCAGACAACAGAAATTAGAAATACCTTTTTACATGCACCATCCATCGCTGCTTTGCTCTGTTGTGTCATCACTTTCACATCATTAATTACGCTGGAGACGTGTATAGCTCACCGAATGCTGATGCTCCTCAGGGGAAGATTACAAGCGTATGACGCTGTTGTCTCCTGTCGTTTCTCAGAGGCGTCCCCGCTGTCTCCACAGCCGTCTCTTTCCCACCTGGCCTTGGGTCTGTCTGTGGGCACGTCAGCACTCATCGCCGCCCTGCTGCTGGCTGTTTCTGGAGTCATGATAAGTACGTACTGACAAACCCTGAGATGTTACGGTAATGCTCTCTCTGTTTACCTACGAGGTTTTGACTTGGATCTGGGAATAATTAACTGAATTCCAGATGTATTTCCTGTGGTTTATGCATCAGTTCCAACATTTTTTTAAGATTGATATCAAACAACGCTATTGGTGTGTGACTGTCAGAGGTTCCAATAAACACTTTATTCCTGCAGCTATTGTTGGATTTTACTTGATTACTTGAGAAAACTGATGTTTAGTTAAGAGTTCAAGCTTCAATGATCTTGTCCGGGAGTTATTCTGACTTCTCGTTTTACACATAACATAGTTAAGCCTCAATAATACATTTCCAAATGAGTTTCGAATAACTCTGATTTCCATTTTTCTTTTAGCATTTAAAATGATTTTAAAAAGAGTTTCCCGGACTTTCTGAACATTTGCCAAATTCTTCAAATGCTTATTGACTGAAAAAGAATACACATTTTTGTTGAATATTTAGTTACCGGTACTTTAAATGTGAACTACCAACATAGTGCCTTTGTTTTATTTTAGAATTTAAAGTATGTGTAATAGATATTTGATAAACTAATTTAACAAATCTAATCTGTTCTTACAGCTGATGAAATACCCCACATGTATTTATTTTTTTATTAGGCTTTACGTATTCTATAAATTAAGTATTAAGGTGGGATTCTGTAATCATAGATAATTTGAAATGTCAATCTCAGGTTATTCGATATATTTTTGATACTTTTTACCAGGTAATTAATTTGGCCCATCATGTATTGTCTATCCTTCATTGTGTGTTAGAATCCAAGGTGTTTCCACACTAAAACGTTTTTAATTATTAGTGCCGACTTCCTCAGGATGTTTAGTACTGACCATGAATTGACTGATAATTCAGGAGACATTGCAAATTAAAATCATGTTTCTAAAGTGGAATTTCCAGTCCCAATTCCACATCCTTTGTTATATAGCAGTAGAGAAGAAACGTGGCTGTTACTAATCAAGAACTGGAGCTAGTTTGGAATCTGAGGTGGCTCCACTTCTTCAGTCTCCCAGATGTTAAAATTGAACATTTATATAGTTTCTCACTTAAAAGTCACTGTCGGTTCCTCCTTCAGCCTTTAGCAGATTTCTGAAAACAAAAACAACAAAAAACAAAGTTCTGCTTTCCCAGTAGGGAAGGGCATCAAACAGGCTGCTGTCAGGCAATAACAGCCAGACATATGCAGACACTGGACCATTCAAGCCCACTCCCACTCCCACACTTAGACTTCCACTCTCACATGAGTCAAGGAGGTGCATTTGAACAAGGACAGACTATGTGAGGGATAGCTGCTTAGAATGCAGCTGACAGCACTTGTGGATTAGACAGTAGGCAGTAGTTTGTAAATAAACAACTCAAAAAACAAACACTTAGGATTCACCAGGCAAGTAATATCTCAGTCTCTTTGAGGCTTTCTGGACTAAAAACTGTCAGATTCAGTGTGTTAGGTCCAGATCAGGCAGTTTTATGTAATATTTAGGCAGATGGTCTGAGGAAGTCTTTGTATGTTATACATACGGTTCATATTTCAGAACCAGATTCAAATAGGTGGTTAAATGCTGAAACAGTTTCTATCATCTTGCAGGTAAACCTCAATAACTAAAAAAAGAAACAGAATTTAATTTCACAGTCCTTGTTCTTGAAACGTTGCTCTTTAGGGAAATAACATCCTTAAAAGCATTCCAGCCAGCACAGTGTAGCCGCAAGCAATCATTTTCTCCAAGAGGATCGGTTTCAGGGTTTTGTTTGCCTTCTAAACTGTGAATACCTCAGTAGGGGAATCAAACTCTTTCATTTGTCTCCCACCAGTGTACAGGCGTAAACACACGGAGCTGCAGTCCATTCAGCTGGAGCTGCAGAGTCCAGACTGTAAACTCAGCAAGCTGCGAGCCTCCACCATCATGACGGACTACAACCCCAACTACTGCTTCGCAGGGAAGACGGCAACAGTCAGCGACTTGAAGGAGGTGCCACGGCGCAACATTTCCCTCACTAGGTGAGAAATTCCCTGTGGAGTGGAACTAGACTCCCCCGTCCCCTATCAGTTCCCCCCACAGGCTGAAGGTCACCCCCAGCCCCCCTTCCTTCATTAAAGCCTTTTTTGTGATAGTAGTTTGGGACTTTTAACATTTAATTAAGCAAAACTTTTCTCTATCAGTTTATTTTCTCATGTAGAAAGGGCTCCTAATGTCTTAATATGATTTAAATTAACTGAGAAGTCGATCATAGGCTACAATGAACAAAGAGTCCTTTGATGGAGGATCGTCCTAGAATGAGATTAATGTCTCATGAATCCCACATGAGAAAATCTCCCTTCAGATAGATAATTTTCTTCTTTCTCCTGCAAAATGTTTCTAAATAAAAGGGTGGATGGATGGATGGATGGATGGATGGATGGATGGATGGATGGATGGATGGATGGATGGATGGATGGATGGATGGATGGATGGATGGATGGATGGATGGATGGATGGATGGATGGATGGATGGACTTTATTGCTTCAGTTCTGTTTCTATTTTTCAAATTTTTCCAGCATTATACAATTGAAGGGACACAAATTTTTCACTGCACATTCAGCCATAAGTTGTGATCTTTTATGCCGATGTCACACAAACTGTTGTAAGCATATGTGACAGGACTGTGTGTTTCTTTGCAGGGGTCTGGGTCATGGTGCATTTGGGGAGGTCTATGAAGGTCTGGCAGTAGGAATACCAGGTGAACCGAGCCCACTGCAGGTGGCTGTAAAGGTCAGTCCAAATCCAGATGATCTGGTTAAACAACAGTTTAAAAGCAAAAATGTGAGGTATTTAATATAGAGGTTCAGCTTAGAGGCTGTATAAGGGAAAATAGAACCTTATTTAAAGTATCACAGAGAAAAGCCTCAATAATAACACAAAGTATTTAGTTCTGTGCAAGGATTTTAATTCAGAATAATTTTATTCACTCCAGACGCTTCCTGAGGTTTGCTCTGAGCAAGATGAGCTGGACTTCCTGATGGAGGCTTTGATTATCAGGTAACTACAAAACACACTCAACCCCCCTCCCTGTGCATTAAGCACTACATTTAGCACTATATGAGCACAATATGTTTCCTTCACATGACCTCTGTTTTCCAGTAAATTCAACCACCAGAACATTGTGCGCTGCGTCGGAGTGAGTCTGCAGGCCATGCCCCGGTTCATCCTGCTGGAGCTGATGACTGGAGGAGACCTCAAGAGTTTCCTGAGGGAGACCAGACCCCGGCTGGTAAGATACACCGTTATACCGTACCTTCTTTTACCTAAACAACTTTTTTTCTCTCAGCAATGACATTAAAGTTATGGTAAACGCATCAGATGCCATCACCATTCATCCACTTGCTGAAGTCCCCTCAGGGACTCTTTAAACTCTAACAGCATGGCTGCTAAATGCAGCCAGATGCAAACTGCGTCTCGTCTTTGGTGGTTTACAGGTGGCAAACAGTCTTAGAAATGAAATCCCACATCAGAGAACAGCTTTTTTTTTTTTTTTTAAAGGCAGGCTTTCTGTCGACATCTTCTGCTTTAAGCTTGGATGGACATGTACAGGCATGGCCCAGATACCACTACCATTTATTTTTATTCTCAGTGTTTGTGTGGAAACACTGAAACCCTGCCAGGTCGAGCTGCTTCCCCTTTTCACATTTACAGTCAGCTGATGTGGTTCCAGGCGTTGGATAAGACGCATCCTGCAGATCAGTAATGCAGGGAATCAAAGTTGATATTTCTCGCTCAAGGCAGCTGACACTGAATGAAGTCCTGCAATTTTCTCACCATGATGCCCTGATGCCTGCTCTAGTATTCATTAACATTCCAACTGCTTGCTTCTCATTTATTTCTACCCAGAAAGAAAAAAGGTCATTTTGTATTTAATGTCCATCTAAAGTTCTCTTTATTCTTTTCCTTTTTCTGCCTCCCATCTGATGTTTTAGGACCAGCCGTCCAGTTTGACCATGATAGACCTTCTCAACGTGGCCAGAGACATAGCTAAGGGCTGCCAGTATCTGGAGGAGAACCAGTTTATACACAGGTACGTCAACAGATTATACCTGCTTGCTATGAAGAGAGAACCACAGAACTTATAGATCGTGGTTCAGACTTAGGCATAGAAGGTTGTGCTCATTCACCAAGTTATATAGATTCAGACTCAACTGCATCTGTTTTACAGCAACATATGGACTCTGCACGCATCGTGCCTTCTGTATGATCAGATAAATGACCAGTAATGAGTTTAGAGAGAGAGCAGCCAGATGGGGCAGCCGGCTTTTGTTTTTAAGGTCTGTATCTGACCCACGAGTTGGAGGAGCAGATCTGCAGTAACTGCTCTGTAAAAGATAAGAGGACACATGTGAAGAAGTTCTAAAAAAAGTTCCACTTGAAAATCCCCCTCTGCATATCTAAAACGAGTAAAGGTCAATGCTGGTTCTACGTTTTTATTGAGGTGATGTATTAGGATCTTCTTTTGGACTTTCAAACATTATCCACTGACAAACTGAGCCTATTAAACCTTGTTTGGCTCAGCGTGGCCCAGTGAAGCTATATCAATCCATCTAATGGCTGACTCTTAAAATATTCTGCACAACCCAATCTTCTCCCTTCAAAGCTGTATTAAAATTGCCCCAACTTCTGTCCTTGAGGCTTATTGCAGTTTTATGAAGGTGTGTTTACTCGAGGTTGAGCAAAGAGCTCTGAATGAACAGGGCTTGTTTTTCAGGTGGATTAAAGGCTTGAATCCTGAGCTGAGCTGAGCTTCTACGAGGTAACTCACAGGGTTAATGCTGTCTGAAAACAACTTAATCTAGGTTTTATGTTTGTTTTCCCATTTCTATCCTCTAAATGACCAATGGATCATGGAGTGCTAGTTTATTTAGCTATTTTTTTTTTTTTCATTTAATACCAGCTTCTCACTCACAGGAAGGAAAAGCAGATTTAACAGAAGGTTTACAGTAACCTCACTTGTGTGAAATTGATATAACAACAAAATGTTCTGTAAGATATGCAGAGGGAAAGATTTTAAAATCACAAATATACTGTTAAAGTCAGCTGAATATGTTTATGTAAAACTCTGCCCTAACCTGACAGACATGAGTTTGTGGCAGCAGCTGCTGCATTTTAAAACTCCTACTCGCCTCCAAGCAACACATTTCCATTCCATTCTCCTTGATCATTATAGGAGGACTACTCAGGTGTAGATATAGCCCCTCACTCCCTCGATGGCCCTTTCCAGAGGTTATATATAAGGTTTGAATGGATTCATCAGTTTGATTTGAGTGACTGCATTCGGTCATTTAAACACCTTGCCTTATTTGTCTCTTCTTTATGTATTTTCAAACATCTGAGGTAATGCAGTAGGTATAGTTACAGGAACTGACACAAACCATGCAGCATAACAGGCCTTGTATTAAGCAAAAAAACAAAAAAAAACAGTCAATGTGATAAATCAGAGTAAGATTTGAAATTTAGGTGAAGGCATATGGCTTCAAGAAAGAGCTAGAGAATCAAAATATGGATCAAAGCTTTTCAATGTTTGTCAAATTTGGTCCATAGTAGAGATTTCAGATCTGAATTCTTTGTGTTCTCCATCATCAATATAGCAAAGGTTGGATATGTTTGTGTTCTTTTTCTATGTTTCGTTTTAAGATAATTATTCACACTTTAGCTTGAAGGTAAAAAAAAAAGTTATTTATTGACGCAAATCATATTTCAATATTTCGATGTAATCACCAGTAGAAGCCTTGTCCTTGAAAAATGACAGCATTTGTTTTTTATTTACAGAAACAAGCAAATTTACCATTTCTACTCTTAAACATTAAGTGTGATAAAATGTCAAGGAACCGTCAGGTTCTATTCAGGCATGGAGCTAAGAGTTTTAGTGAAAGAGACTTTGATTAAAACCCCCGGAGGGGTTCAGCTACCTGAGAAACACCAAAATAGTGTTTTGCGTCAGCTTTCTGCTGAATAGCAAAGATGTGTAGAGAGATGAACAAGATGCAGAGTTGTTTCAATAGCGGAGTTTCTGAACAAGAAGCTGAAGAACAAATTGATGCCTTTGAATCACTTCTTGTTTTTTGATGAATCGCTTACGGTCAGATTCTTCGTCTTGAAGAACCACAAGCTGAATAGTTTGAGACCTTTCTGACACCCTGAAGTGGGAGTCTCTGTTTTAAGAAGCCATCTGTTCACATCAGGCTGAACCAGAACTTTATCCTCATTGTGTCATTTCTCATCTAACAGAATCAGACTCCAATGTTTCTTTCTGCTGTGGCGTCCATCACTGCGATTTATTCCGTTTCTTTCCCTTCCTGTCTCATGATTCGCTCTCAACCGGGTGTCACATGATGTCGCCATGGTAACTTATTTGCCACTGCTCTGTATGCTCACTGCATCACTCCTTAAAACTTAAAGACGGTTAGGTGCCTGGAGGAGTAAACTGCAGTGTGTGTGGGCTCTGCGAGTACTCTCCTTAAAGATTCACTCTGTGCTGTGCAAATAAGCGACTCCCTCTCTAAGCTGCTTCTCCCTGCATGACTCTGCAGCATTTATAACCAGAAGCTGCAAAATGGCAGCATGCTCAGGGCGAGACTAAAGTTCAGATCCAACAGGGGACTAACTGGGGGTTTCATACACCAGGCTTTGTTTTTTAAAATATAAATGCATGAAAAGAACTGCTAAACTACAGAAGATATGAGGCATAATTCAAGCTGTGCTGATGCTCAGCAGGGCTCTCTCCTCTGCTCACTGCATCCCCAGTTGTTCCATCCAGTAATGTGGGTGCATGCAGTGATCTAATGATGCTCTTTTTTTTTTTGCTTTCAGGGACATTGCAGCTCGGAACTGTCTTTTGACCTGCAAAGGACCGGGACGTGTGGCCAAGATCGGAGACTTCGGGATGGCTCGGGACATTTACAGGTACATTTCCAACACTGTTATCTACAGCAGAACGATTCCAATTTTTCCCTCAGATTAAACAGAAAACTTCTAATAAAGACTAAAAACTAAATACCTACCACATCAAAAAAATGTTCTGGGTAGACATACTGGGCCTCCTGGTTGTCCCTAGCAACCCAAGTAAATTTTAGGTGTTTCAGAGTGGAATGAGACTGATGTGTTTTTAGGTTTTGTGGTTTGCTGTCTTCCTCCAAAAAACACATTTTAATCTTTGTCTTACCTGAACGGTCTATCCTCCTTGTAATTTATTCAAGGCTCACTTTCAGTAAGCTTCAATGCTTCTCCTTCAGCAGTGGAGTCTGATCAATGGTGGCTCTTTTCATGGGTAAACTGTACCTGCTAGCTGCAAGTCCTTCTGACCCACTCTGTGATTGGTCATTGGATCTTGGACAAGTTTCAGATTTTGTTGGATTCAGTCAGAAACCTTGCAAGAAACTTTGAATCTTTGCTGGTTTACTGCAAAATAATGTTCTTTCCACTGCTGGTTGGGGCTCACCTACAGTAACTGTGGGTGTAACTGCGCTCTCTTCAGCATGTGTCCAACATGGATATGTTATAAGTCATAATATAACTATTTGCTTTAACCAGTCAAAACATCCCTCTTGCGTGACAATCAGGATTTCTAGTATTTTAATGTCTAAGCTGGTTTCCTTTTATTTATTTGCTTTAGATCTTTATATTATTTGGGTCTGAGCTGCATCAGATGTGACTTTCATGTCAATGAAAGATTAGAAATACATTTACTGAGGTAATAAACCTGCTGTTTTCTGTTGAAAAAAACTGACATCTACGAGAAAAAAAAAACATTTAGATAATTTCTTCCCTGAACTCAGCATGATTTATTTCCA